GCCCCACTGTCCAATGTTTCCCTGGTTTCCAGCGATTGCCGTAGTTACCGACAAGGCATCGCTTGAGATCAAGGTTCGGGTCTTGACCGCGAAGTAGGAGGGCGTAAAATCGCCAATCAAGAAAAAATTCCCTCCATCCGGGCCTTAAAACAAAATTCCACTGATTATTCTCTTCGACGAAATCGATGAATTACGTTTGATGAAAACATTCACCACTTGTTTTCCCGCGAATTGGAGTATCGAGGAAGCTACGTTCGGAAGAAAAATATCCATGTTGAACCTTTGCCATAAGCGCTGCTGATTTCTCCTATTACCTCTGGTAGTACCTGGCTAAATGCAGTGTTGCACGATCAAAACTCGAGCGTTACCACAGTAGTCAGTCATAAGTTAATGTTTATCAACATTTTCCATACGTCTTCAAAATTTGAACCGAAAAGTACTCCATGAGGCATGAGAACAATGAATAGAGACAATTATTTATATCGTGAATGAATTACATGAATTTTTCGATTTTATTCTCCGACCCGGTTGCTCACTTGAGTAGGTAAACATCCTCAAATCCTTAAATAATAGGGACCATCAGACTGTTGTATAAAAAAAAATAGAAAAGGACATATATATCCATTAAAGTCATAGAGAGTCGGAAAGCGTGCTAATTGCAATATAAAAAAAACTTCAGTTATTTATTAGAAACTTTTTATACTATCTTCATCAACAGTTGTGTTGCTGATTTGTGATAATCATAAATAATTGCTCGTGTTAACATCTCCATGATATAATTTTAAATAAAGTTGAGTGTTTTGAAAATTTTGTTGAATACGTTTTAGGGATTATTGTGTGTACTCAACCTCAAAACTCATAATAAAAACTCACCAACAATTTCGCAAACACTAAATCTGTCACAAAAAATTGTCTCTCAAATTCAACGAAAGACTATTTTCCAACAAACCTGAATGAAATCGGAGATAAAATATCCATAATATTGAGAACCAATGAAACGTTAAGGAACCCGACAAATACACCGATTACGAGGAGATGTTCCCCTAAAAATTGTAGAGTTCTCAATCCCCAAGTTATCAAAAACACCACGAGGTACTTCACAATCAGACAAATTGTCATAAAAACTTTCACGAGAATAATGAAACCCTTCAATTCCCAGTTATTAAGCTAGCAAAAAAAATGAGCTCTCTGCTCTTGAAGGAAAGCACTGTAAGCGTACCACATATCTGACATGGGATTCCCATAGCAGTCCTCGTCATCCTCATCAGTCCGATCATCATGAAAATCAGTAGGATAATGAGCATCGCATCCACTGCTTCTGTAACGGCCATTTTGCTTATAACCTTTCATCAGAATCCTGTACGCCTGCGTTATCTCTTTGAACTTCTTCTCATGTCTTTTCTGCTCCTCATGGCTGGCGGTTGAATGACGATCAGGATGATGAACAAGTGCCTTCTGCTTGTAGGCCCTCTTGATATCCTGATAAGGTGCATTATAAGGGACACCAATGATGCTATGATGATCACTCCTGCTGCTAGCGAATTTCTGCTTAGCCTCATCGAGAAGTTTTTTGCAATCTTTTCCACTATCGAGTTTGCAGGCTCTGGTGAGATCCTTGACGGCCTCCTCCCAGTCCTTGAGATCCATATAGCACCGTCCCCTCCTCATCAAGGCCTTGACATACTTGGGATCAATCACCAGAGCATTTGAGCACTCGTCAATGGATTTCTGTAGATTTCCCAGTTTGTACTGAGCAAGAGCCATGTTGTAATAAAGTTTCTTCTTCATCTCCAAGTTTCCAATGTCCACAGCCATAGCTTCAGCATAAAACCCCAGAGCTTCGCTGTATTCCTTCCTCTTTATAGCATCATTACCAGCTTTTTTCCTGTCAGCCAATTTCCTTGCCTTCTTGTACAGGGAAACTAACTTCTTGTGATCTGGAACGAGTTGAAGAGTCTCTCTGATGTAATTTACGGCCCTATCTACCTCCGATTGATAAACACAGAAACCCACGACGTATTTAGCATCGATGTTTAATGGGTCTACCTGCAGCACGTTGTCAACAACTTCTTCAGCCTCTTTGTATCTCCTCAGATGTGCCAGGTACTCAGCTCTGCGAATCTTGAAGGAATTCGATCTGCTACAGATGGCGAGACACTTATTTATCTCGATTAGAGCTCTGTTGTACTGCTTGGTTGATGCAGCTTCTGCCTCTTGCTCCAGGTGCTTGTGGATTTCCTTCAGTTTCTTACGGTGGGTCGCCAGTATTTCATTTTTGGGATCGACTTCTGAAAGCCTCGAGAGGGCTGTTTCAGCAACCAAGAGCTTCCCCATGGATAAAGCACATTTTATGAAACGAACGTGGGCCTTGATGTGAGTGGGATCTATCTCGATTGTTTTCCTTGCATCATTTAAAGCATTCTCGTACTTTTCCATCATCATGTGACAGGCTGATCTATTGCTGTAATTGTTAGCATTCGTTGGGTAGAGATCTGTGGATGAACAGAATTTTTTATAAACTAAATGATTAGGAAAGACGAGTTAAATGTTTCAGAAAAATCCACGAATATTTACGAATGAGTTCAGTGTACTTTATAAGCGCCTGCTTGAACCTTCCCTCCTTATAAAGTGCATTGGCCTCTTCCTTCATGGCCTCACTGAAAAAATAAATATAACGATAGAAAATCTCCCTATTTTCGGCATTTTTTCCCTTTATCATATGCAATGACATCACCTTTGTATTTATTACATTTTGTATTCTAGGGATGCGATCTTTCGAAGAATAATATTTATTATCCCATCAATCACATGAATAAGTCATTTCACCAATATAACAAAAAGATAATTATTTGGAACTGACTCACCGTTTCTGGGAATCGTAACACCAGTCTATTTATCTATTCCACCATATTCAAAAAAGATAAGCAGGCGAAAATCAATCAAGTAATCGCAATAACACCAATTTTCAGGGAAGAAAATTATTCAAAAAGAATCGGGTAACATAAAAAATTCAGAAGATTGAAGATTGAAAGACAAAAAATAAAAATTACTCTTGTTTGGAACTCTTCTTATTATTATTCTCTCTATGGTCTCTCTGTTTGTCCTTGACATTCGGTGTGTTGTTGTTATCCTCTTTCATAAAGCAATCATTTCGATTTTCCTTGAAATCACTCTTCCAAGATTTTTTGAAATTCTTGGTCTTCCTCGATCCATTATTTGGCTGCTTGACTCCGTCTTTCTGATGAAAACAATCCTCTTCTCCATGAAAACGACAGACACGTGCAAAATGTCCGACCTGACCGCACTTGATACAGACCTTCCCAGAAGCTTTGCAATTATGCCCATTTTTCCAAGTTAAACCACAATCCTGACATGTCATCAACATGTTCTTAGCTTGGTGGTGATAATTTCCTGTTCAATTTACCTCAGGAGGGATTTGCTCTTGAAAAACTTGCTCCGAGTATGTCTCACTGCTTTCTTTACAGGAACGCTGTCCTTTGTTCATTTTTCTCTGGGTCTTCTTTTGTTTTTACCATTTTATTTTCACAGGGAAAACAATCACTCGTGTTTTTTCACATTACTTGGGAATTGACAGAAAATCCTCCCCGACGTTTACTTCTTGGCAGATCGCACCGAAGTGATTCGAATTTTTTTTCGCTGTGCAGTTGAGGAGGGGATGGATGATGGGTTAAAACGGTTGTCTTTAATCAATAGATGAAAAAGAGATAATGTTGTCATTTTTTTTTCTTCGGAACAACCTCTGAATTTTAAGGTTCGAGTAAGGTCCGAACCCTTTTTGTAAATTTATCAGAAAATTGAGTCAAATAAAATTTTTCCTTTTATTTTTTTACGAATTTTATTGGGTAACAGCCACAAATGTTATGCGCTCATTATTTAACAAAAATTTCATAAATTATCACATTAGTTTGATCTGGAGAACTGTGACGTAGAGTTTAAATGGTATTTAGTAGGTCATAATCCATTATTTGTATTATATTTCTAGCATCAGCTTTGTTAAGCCTCGACTATCCCCATCAGTTTGCGTGTCGAGTGAAAAATTCAGAGAACAATCTGAGATACAGATCCGTAAGACCTCTCTCTTTTGTATCTACTGGATTAAAGATGATAAAGTACTTTTCATTTCGAAGCTCTCGATTCTAGATAGAACGTGCTGATAATATGGCAGATATAATTCGTCGTAAAGAAAACATCTCACAGAAAAGTGAATTTTTCGATAAAAAAAATTGTGTCTAAATTGAATGAGAGATGAACAACTATTTATCGATCAACTTCTCCGAACACGACGTCCAAAGTCCCAATCATGGCGACAATATCAGCGAGGAAGTGTCGAGGGCCGATTTCCTGGAGTGCTGAGAGATGAGTGAAACCTGGAGCCCTGATTTTGCAGCGATAAGGTCTGCTGCTACCATCGCTCACCAGATAAACCCCAAAATGACCCTTAGGGGCCTCGATAGCTGTGTAAGTAGCACCAGGTGGTACCTGAAATCCCTGACTGAATAGCTTGAAGTGATGGATCAGTGCCTCCATGCTTGTCTTAATCTTCTGACGTCTGGGTGGCACTATTTTGTGATCATCCACTTTAATTTCACCAGCTGGCATTTGATTTAGGCACTGGTCGATTATGCGGAGGGACTGGCGCATCTCTGCGATTCGACAGAGGTACCTGAATAATAAAATTCGTACAGACTGTGATTCTTGTGAATTCAGGTGAGATATTTTTAGATATTATTAACTTTTTTACGACCTGTCGTAACAATCCCCGGCAATCCCAATTGGCACATCGAAATCAACGAGATCATAGGCATCATAGGGTGCAGTCTTTCTGATGTCCCACTTGTGTCCGGATCCACGAAGCATTACACCACTAAATCCCCAGTCCAGTGCCTGTTGGGCTGTTACTATCCCCACATCCATTGTTCTGCTTCTCCAGATGGTGTTTCTTGTCAAAAGATCCTCAATGTTGTCGATCTGGCCTGCATATTGGCACGCCCACTGGTGAATATCGTCCAGAAGACCCAGGGGAAGATCCTGGGCCACTCCGCCTGGACGAACGTATGCTGCGTGCATTCTCGCTCCACTCACTCGCTCATAAAATTCCATAAGCTTTTCACGTTCCTCGAACAGCCAGAAAAATGGAGTCAGGGCACCAATATCCAAGGAATGACATCCGATTGCTACTATGTGGTTGAGAATTCGGGTGATCTCGCCAAATAATGCTGAAGATTATTTGTATTTGCTTGTGATTAATCGGTAGCTGGAGAAAAAAAAATCCACAATAAAAGTCTCCCGGGAATGATATTTCCCCCACCAATGAATTATCCAATGAGTTTTAAACTAATCACCGCGTGGATAATTGCTATGTTATATGTGAAGAAAAATAATTATTTCAATTTTAAAAAATGATGAGGCACTAGGAGAAAATTCTTCTCGACGACTTTTCATGGAGGAAATTTCTTTCTAGGAAAATTTTGATGGAATAAATCAGCCTGGAAATCAGATTGATGAATTCTTTCTTTTATAAAACGAAAATTACTTCTGATATATTTAGCACGAACTGGCACTTCGATATTTAATAATTTCTCAACAGCTAGGCAGAAACATTGCTCGTTGCACATTATGGAGACGTAATCGAGTCGATCAAAATAGGGAAGTGCTTGCAAGTACGTTTTGTACTCAATGAGTTTTTCGGTGCCCCGATGGAGAAGGCCAACGTGTGGATCACATTTCTTAACGAACTCTCCCTCGAGCTCCAGCACCAGTCTAAGAACTCCGTGGGCAGCTGGATGCTGAGGTCCAAAATTAATTCTTGTGTTCTGCACATTTTTTTCGATCTTCCTGGGTTTTTGCATGGGTGGCATGTATTTCCACTTGACCCCATCGTTGGGCACCATTACAGGACCAATGAACTGGTTGATGTAATTCTCGTCTGGGAACCAGTGCCCTGCATTCCGCTGGCAACTGACAAATTGACAAACGTTGAAGCATCCACGAACCCTTGAGTTCTATTATTTTATTTTTTATTTGATGAATAAATTATGACTTACTTGTAAATTTTCACGGCACCCCTATTTCGCTGGAAAATTTTGGGATCTGTGATGAATGCCCCGCATTTCTTTGAAATCGTTCGGAGTAAATTTGCGCACATTATTTTATCTGATCGATTGATTTAAAACCAACATTTGAATAATTGGTTATGAGAATTCATTACACACTCTGAATTTGCATTTTATGTAAGTTATTGCATACAAATTCAGGCTGTGCTGAAGGGATTTATTGGAGACATCTAGAGAGAAATAATCAAGCCAAGACATTTTGCGTAGAAAAAAATGTTACTTTATTGTAATTTGTTTCATTTTTTTGTAGAGCAATAATGTTATATATAATGATGATCAATACGAATTTATAGGAAAGTGGGAGATTGAGGCCCGCTGCCCTCTGCCTTAGATATCCCCGAAAATTTTCACGAATTCATAATTTTTTTAACATCTACGAGAGACTGTGATCTACGGAGGGATTTTATCATCAGTTTCAAACTCAATTTTGGAGTCTTCTGGAACTCCTTGATGAATATCCACCACATTTTCTTCTCCGGAAGAGAAAGCACTCGATTTCCTGGAAGTTCAATTCTGAGTTGTAAATAAAATTAAAATAAATTTGAAGCAAAAAAATGCTGGAGAACTACCTTTGCCACACCGTCGATTGACAAGTTTTTTAATTTTATTTATAAAATTATTTATGGCCCGATAGATCATTTTATTGTTGATGCGTTCAGCATCGAGCATGTGAACTATCAGTAGACGACATTTGCCAGCTGCACGCCTGATAGCATCCGATAATGTATGTTCTATACGTTTATGGGAGTTGACGTGAACGCTTAGGACAATGGGATTCAGTTTCAAGTGCTTTAAATGCTTCAATCTGTTTGTGAAGGATCTGAAATTCGTGAATTATTCTATTAGTTATTCACAAGTTTACACAATTAATGAACCAGTGTATCAACAGCCTACCTCTCTTCTTTATGCTGTTTAACAACATCTGTACTGATAGTATCCTTTGATATCGGACGAGAATAATCAGGAGCAACTTCCAAGGTCGTGACATCAAATTCGTATCCCAGGAACTTGAATTTTCTCTCACACGTGGGTGCCAGATTTGTGTGAGTCTTTGTAGGATTGAAGTAGCAGTTGTACTCTGGAATTCCTGTTCTGATTAGCTTTAGGAATCTAATAAATAATACCTGAACGTTAACATCAAAATATTACACGAACATTAATATCATTGCAGAATATTTATATTATCATTGATACTTTCTAGTCTGATAATTTAATAACTTACTTCTTTGCAGATTCTTTATCATTCGTTACGTACAGAAAATCATCGACGTATCTGATCAAATTTCCATTTTTCTTAAAGTCTTGAAATATTTCACTTTCCATGGAACCGTAATAAATATTCGCCAGTATAGGAGATGTAATTATACCCTGACCTACTCCACGCTTTAATCTGTAAGCGTTGCTACCAGTAATCACCTAGAATGTAATTAATTATAAGATGAACAAATCCAATTATTCAGAATAACGTGAAAAAGAAAAATCGTTCTTCTAACCGTTTGATTCTTCACATAACTATCTAATAGTTCAATCATCTTGGGAAGTTTATAGTTCTTTGCATCGGTTGGATACCAGCAGCTGATTGTTCCAGAAGGAAGCAAAAGTGGTAGAGACTTGTCAAATATCTGATAATTATCTTTGATAGACCAGGGCAGCGTTGGATCTAACGTACGGAACAAGTGGACCCTCAGTGCATCAGGGGCTTTAGCCAGAAGTTTTTTCGAAATGTCCAGTAGTTTGTCTATACAAAAAAAGATTGAGATCATTGATGATAATCCTTGGGATTATCGAGAGATAAGAACCTTGGATAATCGAGCCAAATGCATCAATTATATCTGTCGTCACGAAGTACAATGGTTTCTGTCTTCCTCTCACAGACTGAACGATTGTTTTCCAGAATTCGTACAAGCAATGTTCATGAAAGTTGCCACAATTTGCCGTCCAGGATTGTCTGAGCAATTCTTTCAGGACAGTCAATTCCACTCGCTGCTGATGGGTTCCCCTGTGACAAATGATTTCCATGAATTATTCTAATAATTTCAAGGCAAATTTTACAATGCCTTACATTCCTATGTACACAGGTCTCAACCCATTAGTCTTAAGCTGAAATTTTAGAAATGCTGGGGCAATAGCATCACCCTCCTGGTAGAAAGCCTTCTCAAACACTCCAGTAGCTTCGAGCTCCCTGACAAAATTATCACGATATTGAATCCAGTCTTTGACAGGAATCAATTCTCGTTTACTAGATGGACCTGAATTAGCCTCGTAGAAATAAGTATCGATGATTGTCTGGATATAACCTAGGAAGAACCATTTTAGGAAACACCGCATGTTCAGGGCCTTCAGGGTCCAATTGTCTATACCATGCAGCCAAGCTACAGCATTTAAATTCAATTTCTCTACGATACTGCCAAAACGGAAGAACTCTTGTCTCGAATTAATCCAATTAAAGATCTCTGTTCTGATTGTCTTGAAATTATGAAGTGATCCGAATAACTCTTGGGGTATCACCACAGCTGCCACCATCGAGAAGAATTTTTTCAATTGTTTACTAGGCATTTCAATTTTGAACTTGTGCTTGGCGAGTTCATTGAAATTTTTTATGATGTGAAAATATTTGAATTTTGCATGCCGTGATGCGAATTTTTGCATGATCGGTTCCAGTACCTCTATACACGATCTGGCATATTCATAGTTTGACTGGAAAATCTTTTCCAACCATTTATCCTCCCCAGCTCGATTCAATAGGTGCCTTTCTGGAAATACTACGAATGGTACTTTTTCTGGTCCATTAATTTTCCTCCTGGAATTTACGTCGGGTTTCTCCTCCCATTCACGGGGGAGTCTTTCCACCAGGGGATGTTTGTATATTGACATGAAAACATCACGAGGATTAACGCCTGAGGAAAACATGTTTCAATTGAGGTATCATTTTAAAACCATAAAAATTTGTATCTAAACTGACAAATGGGATTTAATTACCCATGATATCATCCAGGTGCTCCTCATCTGTTGGATCTTCTCGGTTCGTTATCTCGCCAATTATTGGGTTTTTGTCTCTTTCATGGACTCGTCTTTTACAATACTCTTGACATTTCAGGTACATTTTATGGTTTTCTATTACATAGGCCCTTTGTGTCGTCTTCATTATCCCAAAAGAGTCTGCTGTAGCCATATCACTAAACAAAATCATAGAAAATTAACTCATTTTTCAAAATTGTAGTCGTTTTTCCTCTCTTAATAAATTATAGATGTTACTCACATTATGAGGTTTTCCTCAAGAAAACTCTGGAGCCTCTCACGATCTTCAGCTTCAAGTTTTTTAAAAAATGGATATTCTTTCAGAGCTGATAGCATTTTACCTGTATTTGATGTCTGAATATCTCAGAAAAAACTCATTTAGCTCTAGACTGTAATTGTCTGTCACAATCCACTAAAATTCACAAATAAAAGCGATGAAAAATCGAAGGCCCCCATCAAAGTTAGCCTATCCTGTTTGTCTCGCGTAACCAGAGATTATAGGCAGAGATTATAGGGGAGATTGCTAACGCCAATGGCGAAGCTTCAACCGCGAAATTTCCTAGCGGAACTTGCGGAACTAATTTTGCGGGTGTACCTGTGAATCAAACAGGTCGCGAGGGCAAGAGTGTCGGTAAT